TAGTACTTACGTAATACAAACTGCAGACGTTTCTAAAATACATTTTGCACGCAATTTGTTGGGTATATCTATACTAATATTATAAAGCTGGAGAGTTTGTTTGTTTGTTTGTTTGTTTGTTTGAACGCGCTAATCTCAGGAACTACTGGTTCGATTTGAAAAATTTTTTCAGTGTTAGATAGCCCATTTATCGAGGAAGGCTATAGGCTATATATCATCACGCTAAGACCAATAGGAGCGGAGCACCAATGAGGAATGTTTCAAAAACGGAGAAAATTTATTACTATTGAGAGACGCAGACGAAGTTGCGCGGGTCAGCTAGTTTATTATAATTAAGATGTTATAGAATTGTCACACTTATTTTTACTTACTTTAATTTGTTCTATTAACACAAAATAAACGAACCAGAAAAGGTTTAATGTTAATTATTACTTAAGGAATGGTTTACTTTATCAAGGGGTACGAAAATGTAATTAGCCCGTTAATTTTGAGATCTTTTTTTGGTTTTGCGGTGTATAGTTTTTTAATGTTGTTATTCTGTCAGTGAATATGAGAACATAGGTAGTATTGATTAGTGTAAATTTTAACAAATTTAAAATTTGCTAGGGCCTCCTCAAACAGCTATTAGGAAAAACAGGCCGTCCCATTGATTGAAAAATTACAGCCAAAGTAATACTTAAGATTAGTATTTAGCAGGGTAGGCTAACAAAAAATCGTTAAGGTAGATTTTTACAGCATGTCATTAAAACGAGGTAAAATGAAACAGAGTAACCATAAAGCAAAAATTGCCATGTTAAGTGAGAGAACCAGTTGAAGGACACCTAGGAAGCAAATCCCTGATACCCCGACGTACCTCGGGCCATCCTCGGGGTGTAAATTACCCCCTCCTGTGTGGGAACCCATGTGTCCCCTTTGTGCTCCCGAAAGGGTGCATGCGCTCCGCTCCGCCACCCCGGCCTGCGCTTGTGGAGGACGGAAGAATATTAGCAGGAGGGCGTCAGTGTAGGGTCAGGGTAGATAAGATTAGCCTATATTCAGCACTGGACTATTAAAGGCTGTTGATGTTATGTATGATGTGAGGTAGATAAGATTAGTAATACTTATAAAATTATAAGTAACTGGCTGCAACCTCCCACGCTTAGCTGTGGCACATTGAAATTACATCGATGAGTCATTAGAAACAAAATTGACGCTAAAAATAGACAAAAACAATCTTTGAAGCGGTTTGTATATCGTGTCAAAACAAAGGCACTTCTCAGAATTTAAGAATCATGAAATGTGTTTGTTGATTTCTCTTTTTCTCAAGAATGCAGTTGAAGTACTTAGTGTCTGTATAATGTTATCTACATAATTAGTCACATGTATTTTAATATTTTCAATTAAGTTTAAAATTATTTTTTTAAGTGCCTGTTGAGTTACTGCTGTTAGTGTATTCTAGTCGGTTCTACTATTTTTCAAAGATGTTTATAATGCCAATTAGAAGAAATGATAATTAATTAGACGAAATACTTTTCACAAATTTTCTGGTTGTTTAAGACACTAGTCATAGGATCAAATCAATCCCTAAAGAAGCGGTGTTACAGCCTATTATTACTTATATTTGCAATTTATAAGTAAATTTTTGTTATGAATACCATACTGGTAGGTTCTAAGGAATAGATACTACAAATTATTTATTATAACCAACACCTGATACAAAGATTATGTTTTTATGTTAGGAGTGTCTGAACAAGAATGTCTAATTTCTCGCATAATTGGAAGCTTAAGAAACATCTGGTGGTGCCGAGACAGCAAGCAGAAGTAACGGTAATTTATGTTAGAAGGCTTGGAGATTTGCGGTACTAAGAAAGATTACACCCTGTCTCGGCTTGAATTTTTACATACATACTTAACGACTGCAAAGTGTACTTAAAGTATTTTTGGCAACTTAACTAAATAAATTTACCAAACCCACTACCCATTCATTTACAAACCAAAGCAGATTAGAGCGCGGTAAATATTGTAGCCAACTATTTGGATGTTTTTGTTGAAAGAAATTATATTTTTTCTACTAAAATTGGATTACATTTTAGTAATAAACTTTGAGTAATGTTTATTTGTTTTTTGTGAGTGTGTGACCTAAGTTAACTACTTTTCCACATGGGTGCTTCTTGTCCGTTGTTTTTATAACTTATCCAAGAATAAAATAATACATTGCACGCCATCAGTCCTAATTAGGCCCTGTATGGCGGGTGAAATTTAACTCAAATAGGCTATAGTGTATCCTTACAAGCATAAAGTTGAATAAGGTTTTACTTTATTATATTAAAACTCGTGAAGCTGTGAAAAACTATTGCTTATCAGTACAAATCAGCAATTTCATACTTTAACCCCTAACATTAGACTAATCACGTAACTACTTCCAAAAAGCAAAATCATGTTTCATAAATAGTGCAAAAAAAATTTGTCTATTCGTAAATTAGCAAATCATTCTTTAAGCATTTTATTGCCTCATGTTATTCACTAAGACCGTTATCAGAAAAGTACGAGTTTTAAAAAGTAAGTATTTATCATCATAAGAACAAGAAGAGTACAAGTCATGTAAGGAAATTTGATAAATTTTGTGGAATGCAGAGGCATACCCAGTCAAATTTTCGGATAATCTTAGACATTATTCAAGTGTTGTGTGTATTCATTAAGGAACTTGAATCGTTCTTTGAGGTAGAAGGGGCTCTAGGATTGAGGTTATAGAGAAAAATGAGGATATGAGAGCGAATCGGAAGCCACTTGAGCTTTTGGCGGAATAGAGAAGTTGCTCAAGCTTATTAAGTTGTGCTTTAATGAGATTCAGATAGCTGACATCGGCATAGTTGAGAATTGGGAGGAGAAGAAGGAGAAGTGGAGAGGACTTTAGTTGCAGTCGAAAGAAAGTTTCTTAGTCTTCGCAGGGAATCGGTAGAAACAAATAAATTACGACCGACTTCTTGTATCTGCGGTCCCCAAGATAAAGTACTGTCTATGTAGATTTGTAGATTTTATACTAGCACTGATCTCAAATGAGGTACCATCGAATTGGATTAAGGGCAGTTGTGACTAGTTAATTCTTGAGACCAACGTGGGACTACCAATAACACAAAAGCACTTGGAGTGATTCAGGATATTGCATGGGATCGGTAAGATTTCGTTAAGGATAGGAACAATCAGTTACTTCCTACTGCATTTGATGAAATTACTAGAATACTCTTCGTAACATCACAATCGAACAATTGATCAAAGACGAAAGATAGATAATCGGTAGCTGGAGTAGAAGAAATATATCTGAGTGTACTAGCTTTAATTTTATCATTAATATCAGACGAGGTGGAGAAATGTTAATTAAGTAAATCAATGTTGATATTTTTAGGAATAGAGTCGCGAGACTTCCCGACTCCTATGTTCTTAGAAATTTCTAGACTTTGGCTGTACTCCGTTTTCTACGGAACAATGGATATGTTGGCGTTATGCATTCCTACATTCTCTTATTGCAGAGATTTCTCTGAAACACTACTATTTTTTGTAAAGTGTCCGTGGGTCGACGCTTGTATTTATTTTTCGATAAACGTTTTTTGGACTTCATTATCTGCCGTATCTCATCGGTAAGCCATTGAGCCGGTAAAGAAATGTCAAATGATGATAAGAAAATGCATCAGCTGAATACTGACCATGGTTAATGAGATGATCAGTAGAAGAGACAAGAATAAGCTCAATAAGAGAGGGAGTGCTGTTAGGAAAATGATGTGTAGCATCAAGTGTTAAAAGTGATAAATTATTCCAGTGCACAGCAAAGAAGAACGATAAACTTTTTTTAGTAAACAAGTATTGAAGTCTGGGCGACTTCAATACTTGTTTACTAAAAAAAGTTTATTGTGTGACTATAGGAAGGAGAAAAAAAATCTTAAATATTTTCAAACGAGGAACATAACTTGTATGTAATGAGGTCGAATAATAAAAACCGAGCAAGACTTTCGCGTGACTTATATCTCGTTCTAAAAAGAGTCCGCGTCTTAAGGTGGTGAAAAGATGGGGGTTGTGAAGGTTCGGTTGTGGAACGCCCTACCGGTCGCAATCAGTCGAGCACAAACACTTGACTCCTTCAAGAAACAAGTGAAAGAATACTACCTGGGAGACGTCAATTACAATAGTTAAGGGAATATGTCGTCGTAGCTATATACGGACATCACCCCACCACCAATCCCTCTTCCAGGTCTTAAACATATAAGACGTATATGTTTAAGACCTTGAAGAGTACATGATGTGGATAGTAGACATGGTTTTAACTAGGTCTCGGAGACTAAAATGGCATGCATGTTGTTGCAACTAAAACTAGCCAGCATATCAGGGTAATGAGCTGGAAAGTGCTGGTCATTAATATAGGCTATTAAAATGCCGTGGAGCATCCAATAATTGGTAATGAAGATTTCCTCGGAGTGACGGTATGCTTACAAAGTATAAAGAGAATTTAATGTACGCTAAGTGCAGAGATTATGATGTTTTCTGATAGGTCTGAATTATCAAAGCTTGACAAATTCACCTCAGATATACATTAAACACTAAAACGGCATCACTAAACGTAGAATTTAAAGCTTAAATCTTACGTAACCAGTTGTCACCACTGGTTAAGGTTCCACATACTAGCTACGTTTTATAATCATGTTGTTGTTTAGATTTTTTTTCAGTTGCATACACGGCTCTTTCATCACAGCAAGCAGGCCGTAAGCAGGCTTACTATTCTTTATTTAAAAAAAAATGGCCCATAAGGTAGCCTTAGCCTTGTTCAAGGTAGTTGAAACAAGATGATGATTTTACTTAATTAAATTAAATTCACAAGAGATAATGTTATCTCACATACGGTAAAACTAAACTATCTATGTTTAGTGTTTACGGGAGATAAAATGCGTGTAATAATAATATATATAAAACGCCTATAAAATAATGAATTTCATTTTATGTGTAATTCTCGCAGAGTACTGTAACATTTCACAATGAGTGCCAAAGAAAGTACAGAAAAAAAGAAATATAAATTAGTGGCTCCTGACGGTGGATATGGCTATATGATAGCGTTATCTGCTACCATCATTCTTGTGAGTATGAAGAATGAGAAATAACAGGTACAATAAATCAAGATATTATTGGCCTAAGTGTCAATCATCTAATTCTTTATATTAAAAAAGGAAAGATGCACATATTTTAACTTTATAGTAGGTATATTTAGTAGGTAGGTAGGTTTATTTTTATTTATTTGTATATTCATAAATATATTAGCAACCAGTAATTTTTTTTTACACAAAAATTGTTCAATCTTGAATAATATTGCAATGCGAATTGGTTTTGTAAAAATATTAGAATCAGTCCAGCAAGAGCTCGTTAAGAATCAAACAAAATTATTTCAGGGCGTAAGATGTTAATAACAGTTTGAATACCATTCAAGTAATTACCGCAAAATGTTTAAATATTTCAGCAAAAACATATTTAAATTTAAATAAAACGTAAAAATATAAACGGCGGACATTTTACCTTGTCTGAATTATGACAAACAAAAATTTTCCAGTTTTTGAATGAAAACTTCATCACAAGTTTTCTTCTTCGCAGATGATGTCATGAGTAACAGATAAATGCTAACGTGGGTCTGTTAATTTGTTTGTTATGCTTTTACGTCCAATTTCCAATTCGATCATCATGAAATCGCACATTTACAAGGTTTCACAGATTTAAAAGGTATGGATTTGAAGCGAAAGGACATAAAAAACATTGGTGCCTTTCATTATAAGAAAATTAAAGTTCCCTAGAGACACCTTAATTAATTGACAAATAGCAAAAGATAAATCTGTAGATCTAGATATAAGCTATTAAGATAATATACGTAGATACGCAAGCAAGTGTCGTCTATTGAAATGTAAGAAGCCAACTAGCGAGTTTAAAACGTAGTCAGTCACGTTTTAATAAGGTATTATGGAGTAAATTATTAAACATCATAAAGAAGAAACATGTGTTGATTATAAAATATTAATCAGAAAAAACAATAAGAGTTAAAGCACATAATTACAAAAGTAAGTCTTAAATAAATAAATCACTGTGGAAATACTCGTACTTTCGACTTCTACTTTACAAATATTGATCATCAGCAACAGCCTTAAATAGTCCACTGCTGGACATAGGCCTCTCCTTAGAAAGGAGCTTCTGGCCTACTATACCACGCTGGCCAGACGGGTTGATATAGGGTTTGTGTCAAGTTTTCCTTCTCTTTGCAGTGCTGTTGCCCTGCGTAGTTGGCTCCCTCAAATATTAATTATACTTAATATCTAATATAAATGCACCTGATCGCGTCTTTGTGACTTCTTCATTCCAAAATTCATTAAGATATATGGCCTGTTTACGCATAAAACTCATCAGACATAAATATATATGGTAACTTTAGTATTTTTAAGACGATTTTAATTTAGGTAACTTATTTTATTGTCTAACTTGCCCGTGTGGTGACGGACTAAGGATACGGAGAGGGACCACCCTTATTCATTCCAAGGGTGTCGTAAGAGCCGACTAAGGGAGGAAACTACACAAGACAACAGCATTGCAAAAGAGAAGGAAAACTTGATACAAAACCTGTACCAACCCGTCTGCCCAGCGTGGTATAGTAGGCCAAAACCATTTATTCATTCAATCATTTATCATTTATTTAAGGCTGTTGATATGTGATGTGAAGTTATTTTATTTACAAATTAGCTTTGTTTTATGAAGTTCCAGTTTATTGTAACACTTTGCCGCTCTTAACTAACTACATGCCTTTCCAAGCATTTCACCCACAAAACTCACAAATTTTTGAGGTACCTAAATAGAAAAAAAATGAGACATAATTTGAATTTTCCATTTTAAAAAATGGGGTCAAAATATTTATATTTATATTAGATGTTTAAATTATCGTATACTTATCGATGAAGTTAAATTCGAGTATTGATAAATAAAGGGAGCCACTGCAGTCTTAGCACGGGGTGACCCGAGACTTGTGGTAATCTTTATCTGAGGTCCCTGGCTCTATACGTTTTCCATACCCCAAATGACCTTATTACTTTATTATTTTTTCTGAAACTAGTTGGATTCCTAAGAAGAGGGGGGTGGGGTGGGGGGAGGGGGTGGTTTGGTTGGTGTCAGGCAGGCAGCGGTCCATAAAAGAGCAGGAAAATGACTATTAGGATATTACCTTTTATTTCATTGGTATTTCATTGGTATTATATTTATCTAAATATATAAATAACGGTTAGTTTTTTGACAAAACGGGTACTACGACTAAATAGATGTGTAAAGAAAATTAAGAAAAACCTCGAATATTACATAAATTTTACTAAGTATTTATCTGATTTTATGTTTTAATATTTCAGACCACAGCTACAATGTTTCAAGGTTGTTTCGGTCTAATTTTTAAAAATTTCATGGAAGAATTAGGCATTAACTCAGTACATGTAACGGTGATGATGGGCATTGGTTCAATATGTTCAGCTGCATCAGGTAAGATGACATAAAATAATATTTTAATATTTTTTTTCCACAACAAACTATTTAATTTATTTATTTAAAAGATACATACTGATTAAATGTAACAATGTCTACATTGTGTCTACAAATATTTATATCATCTGCACATATTTGTTTTGGAGTAAGGGTGTTTTCTATGTAAAATATGTACGTAATTACAAAAAAGTATATAAGTATTCTATCAGTCAATCTATCTTTTATAGTACAAGCTCTGCTAAGTTTGAAACTAGATGGCAACGCCATCTAGTTTCAAACTTAGTGTTAGATGTCCGAAAAATGTTATTTTGTCTATATATTGGCTTATCATTATATTTATTCGATTTTGGGGGAGCACTGGAGCGTAAACTAAGGAAACCCTGTATTTCAGGCCTCCTGTACCGCTTACAGTCAGAAACTGCAATGTAATTAATTAATCAAACAACCGAAGCGCGCGTTCCCTCCCCCGTAGACTGCGTGCGTAGACTGTTTGCGTGGAATACAAATGTAGTTATTACTTATGTGCGATTCTTGAGGAATGACTTTAACCTTTGACAGCTGATTGCATAAAACTTTTAATTTTCCAGCAGAAAAATTCAATGATTATCGAGTCAGAATGATGGTCTGAATACACTATTTCAGTATTAGTTACGACTGGCTATTTTCATAAATAATAAGATTTAAGGTGGACTATTAACTTAGTTCCTCACATAACAGACTTCTTGCTGTTGTAATTTTTGCTTTTACCAACATAATAAAACAAGCACACCTTTCTTATATCAATTTTCTACACAACTTTTTGCTGTTAATTAAACCGTTTTTTCCAGGTTTTCTAACGGGCACTTTTGTAAAATTCATGAGCTTGCGCATGCTTACCTTATTGGGTGCAGTACTCCTTAATATTGGGACGTTCGGTTGTGTCTTTGCAAACACAATGTTCACGTTTTATGTCTTCAATGGAATATTTCCGGTAAGTTTAATTACTATCCAAATATGTTTTTTGTCTCATTAAGTGCCCATCTTTTTTATCTATTTATTTTCTTTTCTCAGAGTATTGCACTGGGCATTTTATTCAATGTATCATTCACTACTCTGAATCTATACTTCGTGGAGAAAAGAATGATGGTGATCAGTTTCTGCCAGACTATTATTGGTGAGATTTTTAACTACTATTATTCTTCCATATGTACAAATGAAAAAAAAGCTTTAAAGGTTTTCAAGAAGTAGCGAGGCCTATTTGAGTTTCTTTACATGCACTTGAAAATACGCAGCTATTTTTAGTATATAAAACCCATTTTGTCCGAATTGACCTTTATTGTTTCTTTGATTGATTCCTAATACTTTACAATTAATTTTAATTGTGATTGTCTTGACAGTTATTGCAGTAATAATTTAATCGTAAATACTGATTTTAGTACCTAACAATTAGTACCTTTTATAAATGTTTACTATAAGTTTATTTCATGTCATTTTTAAGCGTTGACGCTGATCTTAACAAGCGACACACACAGAGAGTTACAAGTATTTTGAAGTAACAGTAACCCAAACTTACTACCTACTACATAATATTTAAAATAAGCTCCAAATTAAATAAAAACCTATTGGTAAGTAAAACTAAACACAAATTTTGCTATTATTTCAGCTTTGGTAACCATGGTAGTACCAATGTTCCTAAAGTGGTCTTTAGAAGAATATGGGTTCCGTAGTACGTTGTTATTAGTGTCAGGAATAAGTATGAACTGTATTTTCGGAGCAATTTTGATACAGCCAGTAGAAAAATACATGAGAAAGGTGGAGATAGAAGAAAAAGGTGAGTCAATATATTTAATTGCCATGCTAATAAAATATCTTACTACAAAACTTATGTTCAAATTACTAAATAAATATTATATACTCTAAATTAATTTAAAACTCTAAACTAACACTAGAAAATCAGTTATAATGTTACTAACATACTATGGAACAAATATAATGTAATAACGTTAATTATTATTAAAAGCTTAAAAATCATACATTTGGTATGCAGGAGTACGTAAAAACTTGATAGGCTGTGAACAGATGCTTAAACAATGTATTTATTGATAACAGAACTAGACGTATAAGTAGGCTTTCATCAGCATCATCATCATCATCAACAGACTTTAATAATCCCCTGCTGGACATTGGCCTCTCCTTAAATAGGAGAGATAGGTATTGGCCTACTATACCACGCTGGCCAGACGAGTCCGTATACAGTTGTTTCAAGTTTTCTTTCTCTTTGCAGTGCTGTTGTCCTACATAGTTTACTCTTATTCGGCTCGTACGACACAAATGAGATGAATACAGGTGATGACACGCCGTGTTTTTAATCCGTCACCACCCGGATAGGGTTTTATACTTGTTTTTTTTTTTAATGTCTGACATAAGAAAATCATCCTCAACGTCCATAAAATCTGCATCATCATGATGACATGTTGTTGACATGGACAGATTTTATGGACACATGTGATAGTCGTCATTCTCAAATCTTATGACTATAATAAACTATCTTGAGTGACATGATCTACGTTCAACATTTTTCCAAGACTTACGATGTATTTTCACCTACTCATATAATAATAATTGACATAGGTCTAGGATGACATGAGAGAGAACTAGAAGTAACAATGCTAAATTAATTTCAAATTTAAAATATAACTCTAATTGTTCGTTCTCCTTTAAATTGGACTTTAAAAACTTGGACATAGCGAAGGCCGGGTCGGGTCTGGAGAGCATCTCCCTAACTGCCTCGGGCAGTATCAAAATCCTAGGCATCGACATATCGAGCGAGATCCAGTTTCGGGGTCACTTAGAGGGTAAGAGAAAATTGGCCTCAAAGAAACTCTGGTGTGCCGCTCCGGCCCACCGCCTCCAATTCTATAACGCGCAAGTCCGGCAGCATATGGAAAACCTACTGTTCTCCTATCTATGCAGGGGCACCCCAGTATCGGCTTCTCCCTCTGGACCGTATCCAACGAAGAGCGATTCGAATCGTCGATAGCCAAAAGATCTCCCACTGGCGTTACGTAGAGATGTTACTTCACTCTGCATTCTCTATCGTATATATCATAGAAAGTGCTCCGAGGAATTGTTCGAACTAATATAAATAACTAGCTGACCCTGCAAACGTTGTTTTGCTATTTACTTTATTTATTTATTTTATTCATTTGTGTTACTATTTATTTTAATATTTTTTTTTGAATGTCTTAAAATCCGTTCTTAGCTGACCTCTAATCGGTGAAAAGAATATTCCTACCAAATTTCAAGTCTTTAGCTCTAACGGTTCCAGAGATATCGTGATGAGTGACTATATACGTGGAAATCTCTTATATGTATATAGATAATAAAAAATATATGGTCAACCACTACATAGAATTTTGATAGATACATTACGAGTATATTGCATATTATGTAAATTTAAAACTATTTTTATTTTTATTTTTTTGTTTCATGGTTTCAGATGAACTTTTAATTAGTGATAAGGAATTAAAACAAAAACTTAAATCAGAAGTAAAGTTAAATGACATAGAAGGCAATATATCTGAAAAATCGCTAGAACTTTCTGAAGAAAATGAAAAAACTAATAGATTAACGTAAGTATAAATTATTATTTATATATTTAATGGAAGCGTGGGCAAACGAGGTTTAAAGGTCGTATCGGTCCGTAATTACCACAGACGATAACTTGTTCCTCAGATTGGTTGTGCGAGGCACTAAGTGTCTTTAAAGCGCACAGTGGTGGAGTGACAATTATCCAATTGATGGGGATAAAAGTTTTGCCGAACAATTTTTTGGTGCACTCTGAAAGGTTAAAGAGATGGATATCATATCAATGATCACATCATCACACATCAACAGCCTTTAATAGTTCACTACTATTATAGGCTGTTGATGCTGGACATAGGCCTCTCCTTAGAAAGGATGTTTTGGCCTACTATACCACGCTGGCCAGACGGGTTGGTATAGGGTTTGCGCCAAGAGGTGGGCCCCGATCTGTCGGACGCCCAATTCGGTTTTCGAGCGGGCGGGCGCTGTCATTAGACATCGCCAACGTATTCAATAGTCTGCCATTCAGCTGCATCAGGGAAGCCCTCCACTATCATGGGGTGCCAGAGTACCTGAGGCCGCTGGTGGCAGATTATTTAGAGGAGCGTACCTTCTTGTACGAGGACCAATATGGTAATCTCAAGAATCGGCCCATGTCGTGCGGTGTTCCGCAGGGGTCTGTTCTTGGACCCCTCCTATGGAATATAGGGTATGACTGGGCCCTTCGAGCTGATTTTCCTCCCGGGCTGGGTGTAATTTGTTACGCCGATGACACATTGGTCACGGCCCGGGGGGAGCGAACTTTCAAGAGGCGGCACGCCTGGGCACCAGGGGAGTCTCTCTGGTGGTCGGGTGCATTAAGGCGCTGGGCTTGCGAGTGGCCTTGGATAAGACGGAGGCCCTCTTATTCCATGGGCCCCGTCGTGGTCACCCACCTGGCGCCTCAATCGTGGTCAACTCGTTTAAAACATTTTCCTTTAAGATATTATTGAATTCGGCTTCTCTAATTTTCAAAAAATAACCAACGTATTTCTGTTTCAGAAAAATTTATAATACTTTGCTCGATAAGTCATTGCGTAAGACGTACTTACTGTCATGCGTTTGTTATGGTCCAACATTGTGTATGTTTGCGGATGTGACATATATTGTAATGTTACCACAAGCATTATATACAGCCCATTGGAGTCAGGTAAGGGTACACATACATTATTGACTATTCAGTTCATTTATCCCAACTCTGTTACTTTTTTTATTAACTCTGTGTAGAAATAAGTTAAAAAAAATAAAATGACTTGGCGATTGCACACTGCAATGTTCATGTAGGGTTTAATCCTCGCTAGCTCTAAGTTCAATTAGTACTAAAAAAAATTGTAGTAGTTGTTACTTGACTATATCACCCATTTCTGCCAAGATATTATTTTTTATAGTCATAGATACTAGGATTTTGTTTTTTTAAATGCTATATATTATTATTTTTTGTTTTCATAATATACGCTTATACAGGTATATTTACATAATAATTACCATTTTTATCAAATAAATATTTATTTCCAGGATAATGTCGCTTTGGCTATTTCGTTAATAGGTTTTGGAGACTTAACTATGCGTATAGTTTTCATATTTATCGGTAACTGGATGTTTAAATTCGGCAGTGCAGAAATTTATGTTGCCGGAATCATCCTTGCCCTCGTGGCTAGACTTGGTAAGACAAATGAAGGATTTTCAATTTTGTTTTTAATTAATTTATTGAGTTAAGAATTTATTTGGTAATTAATTATGTAGGGTGCATCACGTCTAGTTCATTCTAAAGATATCAATGAAAACTGATTTCCTACATCACCTTTTTTTTGTAACGCGGGAAATGCTTTTCACACCATACCCTCCGTTGGGGAAACGGATGATGTGTATGGGACTCCCAGAGAACCGGTCTATCCACTAAACCCCGCGGTGGCCTACCTCGGTGGTCGGGAGGAGCTACAGGAACGCATCAGCGGCTTCTAGAGTTCTCCCTGCTATACCGCATGACTGAAACACATCCCGGGGTGACCATAATCACCCCTGGGCGAGACGCTGCCCTGCTTCTTAATGCTCTGCGCAGAGCAGACTCTGCACCTCCGCCGCATCCCCTTCAGAAGTATAATGTCCCCGCAGAAGAAGACCGTGGCTACCTATCCTTCGCCACTCGCCAGGATTGATCGCGGCAATGCTGGCGGTGACAGATTTCGTCATATAGATTTCAAAGACCCAAAGAATACTTTTAGTGTAAAAATGTTTTTAACTAGTTTAATTAATTTATTATTAATTCAAGTAATTTTTAGTCATCTGGTCGTTTCATACATAGATGTGGAATTAAATGTGGTTTCCTCCATCTTTCCTACATAATGTCAACCATAAAATATGTTGTTTGTTTTCTTTGAGTTGTAATTTTAATAAATAGTATTCTTTCAGGCCAACTTTGGACTAAAAGCTTCATAGCGAATATGATATTTATCACTTTAGCGGGAATCGCACGGTGTTCTATTGCAATCTTACTTCCAGTGGTGATAGCAGATGCCGTATTACCAGAACAGTTCTCATCAGCTATGGGTATCTCCATGATGTTCTCTGGGTTGACGAACTTGTCACTTGGATTTGCTATTGGTAAATAAATTATTAAATTTAAATAAAAACTTGTATTTTAGATAATATTGAACGTATATACTTTAAAAGCGATTAACGTAATTTTAATACATCATCAACAGCCTTTAATAGTGCGCTCCTCGACAAAGGCGTCTCTTTAGAAAGGGGGTTTTAGCCCACTTTACCACGCTGGAAATACCAGTTGGTAAAAGGTTTTTTGCAAGTTTCCTTCTCTTTGCAGTGCTGTTGTGTTGCGCAGTTTGTTCTCTTAGTCGGCTCTTACAATATCCACGGGATAAATAGCTGACACTCCGTATTCCTAATCCGCCTTACTACTGAAAATTTTAATATATAGAGAGGAACATGTGTTATGTCCCTCCAACACAAATGGAAGGATTTAACACACGCGGTCTAACGATTGATATTTAGAAGATGGGTACATATTAATCATCGTGAGCACTTTTACAACGCGATGTAGGATTATACTTCTCTCCATATGTCATCAATAGATGGCATTGATGTATGTGTAAGTTTCGTTGTAATTTATGACGTTGAATTTACATTTACATATTATTACCCTAGTAAACTTAATATTTGAGCTTGCTATTGTGAACCAGTGTCATAATTTCAAACTTTTTTATTTCACTTTTACAACCTGAGAGAAAACAAAAACAAAAGGTTTGTCTTCAGTATGAGGGGAGAAAACTCTCATCTTAATCAAATTATGAGCGTGAAAACGCATTATGCATAATAGATAGTAATTTAAAGTAGTTATTTTAAATTTTAATTTTAACATATAACAGCTTTAAAATAAATAAGAAACAATGTATCAATTTTTTTTTCGGCTATTTGATAAGGCTTATTTTAATAGAAATAGATATACTCGTATATTTGCTTTCAATGAATTGTTTTTTCATAAATTCACTTATAAATACAAATTATGTCTAAGTTTACATATTATATACATACTCGTAAGTGTACATTTGTATATTTTTTCAATTTTCGAGCAAGCTTAGATTTATATATTTTACTACCAATAATTTCAATATATACGACGACGAGACTAACAGATAAATTTGAATATTATGCTTGATATTTCTTTAGTTTTATGAGACAGTGAATACCACAAGTAGGCCGAAATAGTTTTGATGATTGTTTGATAAAACTTATGTTAGCCCAAAAGCTGATATCTATCTTCTAATAACAAGACAGTAATCATCAGCCACTGGTCATTTTGAGGGAGGCCTATGTCCAGCAAATCGCCAAACTGTCTGTTTCGGTTTGGTGACTCGAACAAAAAAACCGAGTGTGGACAAAATTGATCCCGTTTGTGGAATTTAAAAATACTTTCTAATTATTATATCACTTGACAAAATAACAGCTTATATTGATATTGCAGGTGGTGTACGAGATTTGACGAATAGTTACGACGTAGCCTTTTACTTAATTGCGTCGTGTTTCGCTTTAGTCGCTATTTTCTGGACTATAGAGCTGTTTTACAAGAAAAACAAACACAAAAGACAACTGAGGAGAGAATACTTGAGACAGAAGCAAAATGTCAAGAGCTAAGCACATCAATGTAAATTTCTATTTCATAATTCCTGAGATTCTTCAGTTATTAAGTAATACTGAATGCTTATGAGTCCTTAGACCAGTTATTAATGGATAACGTTCTATTGAAGCCAACAGCCAAAATACAAATTAACCATGTATAAGAAATTTTACAGAAATGCAATACCCAAAAAAAAATCATGTAAGTTATCTAGATATATAAAACTGTTAAGTTGGTTTGTGTACGCTTCAAAAACTCAAAAGGTTCTGCATCGATTGAGGTCAAACATTGGCACGATATACAACAAGTTCACAGATAGTTTTCATCTACGTTTTACAACCACAAGGAACCACAGCGAAGCATGACAGGGTACAGCTAGTAGACAATAAAACATATTTAAGGGTCGGCAATAATAGTAGCATGCGCCTCCAGTATAACGATAACCACTCCAGCATGGGGTGGGCCGGAAATCTTATCAAATTACATTTAAAAATATTTATTCATTTCTGTTTTCCATTTATCATTAATTTACGTATGTATATACCTAATCAATTTTATTGAATCTAAATATTCAAAGTGCTCTTTGCCACATAATTAATCAAAGAGACCTGGTATCACTTAGTATAAAGAACATGCCATGACCCGCAGTTTTACATGCGTTACTGAGAATTTGTCTTAAAATATTTTTCTTTGTCTCGGAAGCAATACACGTTTCTTTTGTTTCTTGTAGTTTTCTATATCACTAATAACAACTAAAATGTTTGCATAACATTATGAGCATTTTAATAATGATAGTTTCAGTAGTGACAGCAAAAAGGTGCAAAATGACTTGTTGGTTAAAAATAAAGACATCCGTATTCAGTTTTTAACCGACTTCAAAAACACAAAAGAGGAGGATCTCAATTCGACTGTATCTGATTGTATATCTCCGTCAATTGGGAACATTTCAAATTTAGTTTTCGTAATCGAAAGGGCGTACTCAAGAGGTGGTCCCATTACCACCAAATCAGGATCTGATGATGGGATCCCAGAGAAATCGACGGAAACCCTCAAATTTACAGCCCCGACAACCTTTTGTAGCTTTATAGGTTTTTAAGCTTTTTCTCTAGCTATATAAGTATTTGTATTTGGTAATTGTTACCTCATGTTGCCGAGCTGATGAAGGAAGGGATCCAAGCAGACTAGAAAGTATCTATTGTTATTATAATGAAACCTGTTATAGCAAGGTCGCACATATTTTAGTTTTTTGAATTAGGTTTGTAATACTTTTTTAATTTTTAGTGCACTTTGTTAGTATTGTTTGAATTTAAAGTCGGTTCAACTTTGTTTAAAAAAGGATTTATACAATATTAGTTAGGATATAACGTGGTATGTAATGTGATAAAATTGCCATCTCTACAAAATATATGTGTTAATGAGATAAGGATTCAAATGTTTTATAAGATAATACAAAACTGTTCAGATAACCTGTAATCTCATTATTTATTCCTTAATGTATTGCGCTTTTTAAAATATAGATGAAAGAATAATTTAAACTGTCCTGATTTTTCTATGACCATGATTATTACCTTTGCAAGATTTTGGCATCATGACTGATGACACAAATAAAAAATTTGGAACATCAGCCTAACCTAAGGTTTGGCCGCAGCATCAGGTCAACGTTACCATATCATCGAAACATCTATGCTCGACCCAGTTCTTGAAAATGGTCCAGCAACATTGTACTGGGATTGCTCTTTTATCATTGTCAAGCCTATTGTTGCCAATAAACTTGACATAGTGGTTTAAGAGCGATTACAGCACAGAGCAATGATTGTAGACTTCACTATTCCCCATGACGACAATCTCTTAAAGCCCTCTCTGGCCCACGAGCTTAAAGATTCGGCAATCATTATGCCGAAAGTCATATAAACCCGCCGATTGATTGCTTAGAGTATCGACAACACCTTCAAAGGCTCACGTTAGACAGCTGGATTAATGCGTGATGCAAATAAAGCAGTATCTCTCGATACGGCACGTATTGTAAGGAGGTTTTTGTCTTTGAAACCCTAACCACCGATAGGATAGTTTTTGTACCCATTTACAACACTATTCCTTTTATTTTTTTGTACACAAATGTACTTTTTCATATGTATGTTTTATCTGTTGGATGCGGGTACACAGGGTAGCACAGGACCGGTTGTTGTGGTGAACCCTGGGGAGACCTATGTCTAGCAGTGGACGTCTTTCCAGAGACATGATGATGATGCTTTAGTTTGACTTATAAGTTTCTAAATACATATAATTAATTCAGAACATGGAAATAATTAACTAAAAACTAAATATGATTAGCATACATAATAATGACGTCTTTATAGTGTATCGCTATCTAATTATATTATTTAATGTGTTAGTGCGTTTATTAACGCGATCACATAATACGTACCGTACCCGTATAAATAAATATTTAAGTTCACAAACTTTAGGCATTTTAAATACCTACCTTAAATAAACCATTAGCGCAGACTGTTTCAATTTTTTTTTATATTTCATTAATCGCTTGATTATGTTTGATATTTTAAATATTTACATGCTTAAGAGCGGACATCAGGAATATCTATATCCAGCAAATGAATAAAGTTTTGCATATTTGTGAATAAATCCTAATGGAATTCATTCCGTCTTAAAATTAAAACATAATAATTGGAGTGTTTAAAAAGGAAAATGGCGGTTATTCTGGTCTTACGTATAAAATTTATTAATTTTGGTTAATTTATTCAAAACTATCATACTTAATCTCAACCTATGAAAAATGTATGCTAATATCTTTAAAAAAAAGTATAGGCTAGTAAAAATATAGTTAAAACAATGAATTACGCAGTGACATATTTGACGTGTGACATAATCATTTCGGTTATTGCATCATAATACACAATAAAATAGATGTCTTATAGAGTCATTTTGAACAATTATATTAATCAACCAAATAATTACAACCACTAAAGATCAATAAAGCCATAAATCTAGTTGCATTTATTTATCCGCTGCCAGCCACTTTTTTTAAATGTCGGACCGATACGATTCACTATATTTGCCCAAACGCGGTCTCCACTCTAGTACACATGGAGACATGACCGGCCCACTTTCACTTCTGATTCTCTGTGCGATGTCGGTTATTCTAGTTTCATGTCAAATAATTTAGTTACGAATGTTATCACGCGACTTTAAAATTGTGGAACAGTCCAAAAGTGAGTGTCCAAGTCTCGACTCCGTATGCTATGTCATTACGATACAGTTAAGGTCTCGGTGTTAGTAGATAAATAAAATCGAACTGTATTTTGCGCTGGTTGGTTGGTAATGTCTACAAGGGGTACGTTGTACTGAGCAGTGATCCCGATCGAGTATATATTGCGAGTGCCTGTAATGGCAATCGTGGTAGGAGCCGTGGCGCCCGCGCCCCCGCTTCTCGTTGCCTCCCCGTCACCTGCGCCGCTTTCAACCGGCTGAACAGTTTCAGCCGGTTCGGCCGATTGAAAGCACCGGCCTACCCCGATGTCGAGGATCGAGGTTCGATTCTCGACAATACGATTGGCAAAAGATGGAAATTATTTACTGGGATTTACTGGGTTTAGTATCAGGATACATTTCCATATGACCCAGCGTTCCATGTTCACGCATGAAATCAGAATAAGCGGTAAGTAAGTAGTCTCAAAATGCAAAGCGTTGCTCAGCCATCACTAACGAATCACCTTAAGGAGCGCGGTCTGATTTAAAGTATCCGATACAATAAGTTGCTCATATTCGTCACTTAAACAGTGTCAATGCGAATGTTACGTTATGTCACCAATATCAATATCACCCGTTACTTTGTTAACTATTGCCATATTTACGATAATTTGACGGCTCAATTTACGCGGTTTAATAGTGGAAGTTTTCATCACATAATTTTTATCCGTCCGTTTATCCGCCGTGGGTATAAATAGTATAAGGCCAAGATTTACGAGAATAACCTAAACGTTGCGCACAGTCCATTTTAATAAACGAGCACTATGCGCCCAAGTTAAATTTCCTAAAAAGTTTCGTTGGAAATAAAACACATGGCGTTGTACTTGCAACCCCAAAAAAATTGCTTTTTGAGAGTCGTGTTTCAGTACATATGGCCCGACCTATATAATATATATAATAGAAATGCGATGTCGGCTAGTGATTTTTTTTTAAATTTTCCATTTTTTTATGTTTAATTCCCTTTCTTTTGTATTGGATCGTTTTTCTAAATCTTGTTTACTCTTTATTGTCTTTTTAACTTTTAGTCCTTAATAACTGACATACTGGCACACATCGAAACAATGCTGCGGAATATGTAATGATGCCATTGTATCTATCTGTTAATTTAAAAAAGAGTGGCCAGGACTTTGTTTGGCTTTTCAAACCCTTGGCAAAACCTTGGATATTCGAGACGTGTATATTTATTTTGCTAAATATTTGACAAAACAGGGACTTTAGACTCTATATAAGAGACGATTTCAATCATTTTTGTACTATGAAACTAGATTGACTGATAGAATACTTTTTTAGGAAATACATACATAGGTATTATACATCGAAAACACCCATACTCCCAAACAAATATTTGCAGATCATACAAACATTTGGTCCGACCTGGGAAGCCAACCCGAGACCTTAGTACAGCAGTCGCATATGCTACCACTGCACCACCGAGGGGATTTTTCGCAGTATTTCTACAATAGTTTTTTCAAATCGAGTTTTCACGTTTTCTATTACGGCAAATTGTACTAAATTCTCTTGTATATATTTTTTTGTCAACTTTTGACATTATGTACATACAATAAACAGGCGATGTCATATATGACGTGGCGCTGACGTTGTGATCACGTTTATTTTTATGTTATTTATAGATCTGTATAGTAATAGAGAAAAGAACCAAATAAACGTCTATAGGTATATCGTATAAGCATTACTTTCACTCCTTTGTTAATAACTATAGTTTTTTCTAAGTCTGCTGTCATGGAAGCATCTT